AAATTCGTGATCTAAGTAACCAAATTTAAAACATGTGGGAGAGCAAACACAAAGAAAGTAGAAGGAAGAAAAGGAAGGTAATAACATTCCAAATTAATAAAATATAAAGCAAAATAACAACAAAAACCTAGAGATAATCAAAGTTTTGATCTTAGCAATTTGAAAAGTTTAACACAAACGAATTACCTCTGGCAAGACTGTCAAGACTAAACAGAGGAGAACCAGAAGAAACAAATACAATATTATGAGTATAAAGAAGAAACAAGTGCATATAGATATAAAAATAAAGACTATTATTAACAGTATTGTACCAATACATTTAATATTTAACCAAACAGATTTTTAAAAGAAAGAATTATAACTCGCTAATCAATAGTGAATAGAAGATAAACATAAAACTTAATAGTACTAAGGTCAATCAATATTTTGTATCAATAATTATATCCCTCCAAATTAAGAGGTAATTTTAGCCAAATATTCCAGAAAATAATCATAAAAATTTATTATCTTTTTTTGAAGAACAGAAAATAAAGAAGCACTCTATAATTCAATCTTGAAGTTATAAAACCCTTATTACCAAAACAAGACAAGAAATGTTCAGAAAACATAGGGGCCAATGTTACTGAATAAGAAAGATGCAAAAATCCTAAACGAATGATTATGAAAAAAGATCTAGAAATATATTAAATTACAATAAAATTTAAAAAATTGTTTGTCCCAGGAATGAAGTTTGTTTAAAAATTTTAAATCCATGTACGCAAGTCATTAAATTTAAAGATTAAAGGAAACAAGTCCAAAAAAATGTTAGTAGATGTAGAAAAAGCATTAATGAAATTCACAACAGGTTCACAATTTATAGAAAATTATAAAGAACGATCTTTACAAACTATAAAAATTCATATTTAATGACAAAACATTAGAAGTCTCACTTTAAAAATCATGAATAGGAAGATGCGTGCACATTTTAGTCACCTTCATTCAACAGGGTGCACACACAAAAAAATCAGCCTAGTGATAGAGAAGGAAACGGAAAACAATTACATTGAGAAGAAAGTAAAAATTAAAACATTATTTTCAAATGATTTAACAAACATTAGTGAACTAATAGGAGAGTTAAACTTGTTATATGAAATAAAATATATAGAGTTGTATATGTATTAATATTTATATGTAATATATAAAATTAAATACGATTTGGAAGAGATGAGTGAACACCAGGTTCTATTCTTTAAGCCAAATTATAAGTGCACAAATATATAATTTTATCAATATTCTTTAAACTTTACATGTATTTTTCAGATATTTTTACACATGCAAAGTATTTTCTATTTTAAAATATCAAAATACTATTCTGTAAAAAAATTCACTTTCTGCCTGTTATACAGAACACGTTATGGAAAAGATACATTAGGAAAACCTTAATAAATAAACACACTATCGGTATTTCGATACAAATAAATGTGATGCTGCCATGAAATGCAGTTTTGTATTCAGAGAAAATACTGCCTGCAAAGCCAAAAATTATAGTTTGTTAAAAGGTCCTGTTAATGGTAATAAAAATTGTTATCCCAAACAGAGCTAACCATTTATAAATGTGAGTCATCTGAAAATACTATTGGTCAGCTTGTTTAATATATATGGCTGTAACTTTACAGAACAATCTGAAAAAGATTAGTAATTTGTTTTATGATTTCTGTCAACTGAGAACACAGAATAATCACCCAATTTAATTGTTTATTTGTTTTTGGAGACAGGGTCTTGGTTTGTCACCCAAGCTGGAGTGCAGTGCCACATGCAACATCTGCTTCCTTGGTTCAAGGGATCCTCCTATCTCAGCTTCCCAGTAGCTGGGACTACAGGCACATATCAGCAGGCCTGGCTACTTTTTGTATTTTTTGTAAAGACACAGTTTCATTCTGTTTCCCAGGCTGGTCTCCAACTCCTGGTCTCAAGTGATCCACCCGCCTCACCCTCCCAAAGTGTTGGGATTACAGGCGTGAGCCACCACGCCTGGCCCCATTATTTTTAGAATAGTGAGAGTTTCCATATGACTGTAGTAGTTACATCATGAACAAAAGAACATCAAAAAATGATTTATTTTGGATATTTTTTAAAGTGTTATTATGTTGAATGTAGTTTCACAGTAGTAAATATGACCTCCCACTGTGTTCTTATGATAGAATTAATGACAAACTTTTTCAAAAGTTAGTACATAAATAGGTTGAGTACATTATCCAGCAAAGATGGACTTTAGACTTAAAAGTTTAAAATATTCGAAGACATAAACACTGGCAACAAATACACAGGATTGATAAATTCCTGTGGCTGAAACACAGACATTTCAATGCTTTGCTGGATTAGCTGAATGTTGTTTATAACGGTTGGTTGTCTTACATACAGAATAGGAAGTCTGATGATGGTGTGAAGCCAAAGTGATAAAAGTAAATTTTTTTTTTTTTTTTTGAGACGGAGTCTCGCTCTGTCGCCCAGGCTGGAGTGCAGTGGCGCGATCTCAGCTCACTGCAAGCTCCGCCTCCCGGGTTCCCGCCATTCTCCTGCCTCAGCCTCCCGAGTAGCTGGGACTACAGGCGCCCACAACCGCGCCCGGCTAATTTTTTGTATTTTTAATAAAGACGGGGTTTCACCGTGGTCTCGATCTCCTGACCTTGTGATCCGCCCGCCTCGGTCTCCCAAAGTGCTGGGATTACAGGCGTGAGCCACCGCGCCCGGCCGATAAAAGTAAATTTTAACTGATAATCCCTATTGATGTTAGCATTCCAAATACAGTTTTTAATGTCACTTAAATACAAAAATCCTCAACTTGCTAACCAGGCACATTTTAAAAGACAATGTATTAACTATATTATTTTCCAAAGTGTTAGCCAAACAGACATATTTCCATTTCTTATGCCTTTACAGAAGACTGTATCACAGAAGACTTACATTCCATTAAATCATGTGATATATAGTTTTATCTGCTATATATATCTACTGCATCAAACGACTGTGGGAGGCTTAAGTCATGCTTAATATGATTAACTTTGTAGCTTTTGCTTGCAAACGAGTATAGACTGAATCATTTTCTTTTCCAATTTAAAATAGGCTTTGTCAAGTCATTCAAAGGAAAATCATCAGCTCAGCTCTCTGAAGTCTTGGAACCAACTATTAGTCTTTTTAATTCACATTATAATCAACCCCAAAACTTTCAGTAGTTCTTTCAACTATTTAAATATGAGTTACACACCTGTATGATTTGATTACTCTGTTCATTCCAAATTGTGTTTTCGGGGAACTTATTTTAAATAAATAACTTGTTCCATGTTACTAATCTGAGATTGGGATCAATTTCCAGAAATAAAAACAAGCTTTTGCTTAAGCTTTACAAAACAAACTCTATAAATGAAAATGAAATAACATTATTTTTTTCAATTAATACTGATAGAAGAAATAAAGAGCTACAAACCAAGGTTTTTCAAATATTTAGAAAATATGTGGTGATGAAATAAGATTCTAACCCAAGGCTAATAATTTTAAATAAAATCCATTGTGTCATGACCTTATCCACGTTTGGAATTACTAAATGACTGTTTTCAATTATAACCCTGAAAAAAATTGTAGTAAGTTGATTGCAATAATAACCCCAATAATTTTCTCCTCCCAGTATTCATTTTCCTTTGCAATGTCACTGCATCATCTTCCATCAAGAGGTGGAGTCTAATCTCCTACCCATAGATCTGTGCCAGTTCTGTGACTTGCTTTGATCAATAAAATGTGACAGAAGTGATAGTGCACCAGTTTTGCGCGTTGGCCTGAAGAGGCCTTCTGTGCTTCTGTCCCTCCTCTTGAAACTGCCAAAACCCAGAGATCAAGCCCCTTAATAGTATGCTGGAATATGAGAGAGAAGCGAGTGCAGAGCTGAATCAGCCTAATTTTCCCAGCCAAGACCCTAGACCTGTAAACAAGATCAGCCAAAATAAGTAAGATCAATAACGGTACTGAATTAACCTGTGGCTTACTGCAGATGCACGAGTGAACTGTACTGAGCCCACCTGATATCAGCAGAACCATCCAGCAGACTCATGCACAAGTGAGCATAAAATGAATGTTTATGATGCTGTATGCACCTGCATTTTTTTGGTTGGTTGTTACACAGCATCAGTGCAGCAGTAGATAACTGACACAAAGACTACCTACTGTTCTCAAAGTATTCAACGTTAAGTTCTACACCAAGGTTGGCAAATGTTTTCTGGAAAGCATCAGATAGTAAAAATTTTGGATTTTGTAGGCCAAATGCAGTCTCTGTTGCATATTCCTTATTGTCTTCTTTTTTCTTTTCACAACTCCTTACAAATATAAAAACCATTCTTAATTTGGGGTCTGTAAATAAAAGGCTGCTGGCCAGATTTGGGCAATGGGCTATAATTTGCTGACCTCTTTTTATATCATGCAAAGATATGACATTGCTAACATGATACAGAATAAAAGATGTCAGAGCTCAGGATGCAACAGAAAATAGAGCAAATTAATGCAATAAAATCATATAATTTTAAAAATAGAATTATATTAGTATTTTCATTTCTAATTTTCCATGTTTAGCTTCAGTGGTATGCTGGTAAAAGTTTAATATCCAGCTGTTAGTTGGGAATAAATACTACCACCAGGGCCAATTTGAAGTTACCAGTGGAGTGGAATTGAGAAGAGAGATATATACAAGAGCTGATTCCAGCACACCGTTGTTGTACTGCTTACCTATTTTATTATCCATAACATAGTTCATCCATAATTATAAAAGAAACTGGTTATAATTCAGATAACGTGTTTTTGTTACACTGACTCACTCTTTTCTCTTAGCTCACTTTACTGGTCCCAGTAAGTTTTGGTTTTGTGACCATTATCCCGGAAAAGATTACTATCTTTGCAGTTGCCCTCCTCTATAAGTGATTTGAATTCCATTTATCTATGAACTATTTTCAAAGAAAATCAATTTATGACAAACTTACCTGTATTGGTTTGATCATCTCTAGTGGAAGAAGAGGAAACTGTCTTGTTTTCAGGCATAGTTATCAGAATATTTTAAAACCTAATTAGAAAGAAAAATATTTAAATATCATGAATCTAAATTAGTTTGTATTTTTACTAAAAATTTGCAATTCAAGAACTGTCAGGAAAAATTTCTACTATAAAAGATATGAGATACATAATATACATTCTTACATATATATATTCTTATATATATTATGTATCAGTACTAAATTATATGTAAAATGTAAGGAAGTCCAACAATGTACTCTTTTTCTTATTAGGACTATTATGATCTCATTCAGAAATATCAAATATAAAAATCTTCATTAAAGAGGGATCTTTGATCTTCTACTTTGCTGGTGACTTAAACCAATACCTAGGCTGACCATGAGATTATTTAGCATTGGCAATTGCAGCTATGGGTTCAAAGCCCTGGGGAGATTCTAGAACCTACGATGTTTTCATTTCATATAATAAAAGTTTAACTTTACTACTATCTCTTCTTTACCTTCCTTCAGTTCCTTTTCAAAATATTTTAAGAGTAGAGCAAAAAGTGCAATGGATTTCTATATGTCCATCAACCAATTTCAACAATTATCAATTTGTGGTCAATTCTGAATTCTATACACCCACCAACTGCCCTGTCTCCCCTACTTCTGATAATGGTTAAGCAAATCACAAGTATCATATTATTGTATCTGTAAATACTTCAAAAATTTTTTAAACATAGCTATAATACCAATAATGTAATTAACACAATTAATGATATTTTAATATCACTAAACATCTTTTGTGTTCACATTTTTGTCTCATATTTTCTGTTTTTAAGAATGGTTTAAAGTAGTAATACAAACAAGGTCCGTACATAGCATTTAAGTGAAATGTCTCTTAATTATCTTTTAGTCTATGTGTTCTCTGTTCCATTTTTTTCTCACTGTACTTTACCTATGTAAATATCAAATATTTTGTCCTATAGATTTTTCTACATCGCTGGCAACCTCCCTGTGCTGTATTTAACAAGTTTCTCTGTTCCCTATAATTCCTGCAAATTGGTATTAATTAGAAACTTAAAGTGCTGAACAGAAAGAAAATAATTCTATAAACACAGAAATAACATGAGAAATAACAATTGTCTCATTTAATTTGCAGATCTAAATCATTATAGAGTTTAGAGACTGGAAATCATCTAATTTATTTTTTGTTTGTTTGTTTCACAAGTCAGAAAATCTTGACTGAAATTAGTAAATTAATGCAATGAAAAAAGACTTCTTAGACAAAAGTGCTATGAAAGAAAACCCTAAATCCAAGCCTAGTGCTCTTCCAAATAAACCACTCTACCTCATGAAGACCAACTTTTAAAGAAAAGTAAGCTACAGAAAAGAGCATAACTAAATGCTGAAAGAACATAACAGTGTTTTATGGACATTAAGTTTTTTAATTCAATGAAGATTATAGTTGAAACATATAATTTTATTTCCTCTACTACACAAAATTACCAGAAAAATTAAATAATACAAGAAAATTAATTCCTCCAGTAAGATAGAACTGGGTATATTGAAAAAAAAGTGCTTCTACTATTATTAAAAAAATCTGGTTGAAATATAATTTTTGAATCTTCAAAAAAGCATCTAAGAATTAGCAAAGTAATAAGGAATACATAGTTCCAGATCTAATAGAAGTCAAAAATCCAGAGAAGTGAGACTAACATTTTAGGCCACTTTTTCCCTTGGGGCAACATCTGACCCAGGAGAGGCAACTGAGACATTGGGCAGTACTTGTGAGGGCCACACAAAACTTTGGAAACACAAGATGGAATTCAGACTCTGCCAAGTGTAGGTGCCCTGAGAAATTAACCCATTCCTAGGACTGAGACCCCAAAAGTCTGTATTTTAAGAAACAGAATGAAACAGAAATAAAGTCTATTAGATGACTGCCCATAGACTGAAGCCCAGCCTCAAATTACCTGGGTAATTCCAAACTTCAGTAAGGCCATTCTTGCCCATTTTGTGTGTTCACTCAAAGGTCACTCAACACACAAAATGACAACATAACCAAAATCAACAGAAACAAAAGAAAACATAAACTAATCCAAAGTTACTCTAAATAGCAAAATTACCAGATAATATATCACTAGACAACTTTGTTTAACATCTTTATAGATCAATCACGTTTATAACATCAAATTTTAAAATGTCAGAACTAAAAATAATAAAAATTAATATTGTAAATTTGAAAAGCAGCCAGTTAGAAATCTGTGAACTGACAACTGCCATAACTGCAATTCTAAACTCCCTGGTTTAATTTTAATGTAGCTGTGACTAGGCTGAAGAAGGAATCAGTAAAGCAAATTTAGAAAAAAAAACTACCTTGAATAAAGCATGCAGTTACATAAGAACAGAACAGAGCCCTCACATCTACACATCTACAATCATCTGATCTTTGACAAACCTGACAAAAACAAGAAATGGGGAGAGGATTACCTATTTAATAAATGGTGCTGGGAAAACTGGCCAGCCATATGTAGAAAGCTGAAACTGCATCCCTTTCTTACGCCTTATACAAAAATTAATTCAAGATGGATCAAAGACTTAAATGTTAGACCTAAAACCATAAAAACCCTAAAAGAAAACCTAGGCAATACCATTCAGGACATAGGCATGGGCAAGGACTTCATGTCTAAAACACCAAAAGCCAAAGTAGGCAAATGAGATCTAATTAAACTAAAGAACTTCTGCACAGCAAAAGAAACTACCATCAGAGTGAACAGGCAACCTACAGAATGGGAGAACATTTTTGCAATCTACTCATCTGACGAAGGGCTAATATCCAGAACCTATAAAGAACTCAATCAAATTTACAAGAAAAAACCAAACAACCCATCAAAAAGTGGTCAAAGGATATGAACAGACACTTCTCAAAAGAAGACATTTATGCAGCCAACAGACACATGAAAAAATGCTCATCATCGCTGGCCATCAGAGAAATGCAAATGAGATCAAAACCACAATGAGATACCATCTCACACCAGTCAGAATGGCAATCATTAAAAAGTCAGGAAACAACAGGTGCTGGAGAGGATGTGGAGAAATAGGAACACTTTTACACTGTTGATGGGATGGTAAACTAGTTCAACCATTGTGGAAGACAGTGTAGCAATTCCTCAAGGATCTAGAACTAGAAATACCATTCGACCCAGTCATCTCATTACTGGGTATATACCCAAAGGATTATAAATCATGCTGCTGTACAGACACATAAACACATTATGTTTATTGTGGTGCTATTCCCAATAGCAAAGACTTGGAACCAACCGTCCATCAATGATAGACTGGATTAAGAAAATGTGGCACATATACACCATGGAATACTATGCAGCCATAAAAAAGGATGAGTGCATGTCCTTTGCAGGGATGTGGATCAAGCTGGAAACCATCATTCTCAGCAAACTATCACAACCACAAAAATCCAAACACCACATGTTCTCACTCATAGGTGGGAACTGAAAAATGAGAACACTTGGACACAGGATGGGGAACATCACACAACGGGGCCTGTCCTGGGGTGGGTGGAGTGGGAGATAGCATTAGGAGATATACCTAAAGTAAACGACGAGTTAATGGGTGCAGCACACCAACATGGCACATGTATACATATGTAACAAACCTGCACACTGTGCACATGTACCCTAGAATTTAAAGTATTTAAAAAAAAAATTCACAAGCAAGCATAAGTTCAACACTCCTGGCCTCTACTTTTGGGAAGATGGAATAGATACACTTTTACTTATTACCTCCTGTAAGTACAAGAAAAAACTCTGGAAGCATTATATATAAAGTCAACATAAGAAGACTGAAAGGTGTAGAGAAGAAGGCAGACTGGCTAGGAGACTTGTTGCCAGAGAAATAAGGAGGTAGTAAATTTCGGAGATTTTCTCTATGCTTTGTATATTCCAAACGTGAAGTAGAAGAGACCAGCAACCCAGAAATGCCAGTGGGTATAGACAAAATAAAGCTCCAACGAAAGCCTGCTTTCTTTAGCCAAGAGACCAGTAAAAGGGCGGCTTAGTAAGAGAGAATACATTAAGACAGTAACATCTCTACTACACATCAGAAAAAAACTGACCTGGTCGGGCGTGGTGGCTCACGCCTGTAATCCCAGCACTTTGGGAGACCGAGGCGGGTGGATCACAAGACCATCCTGACTAATACGGTGAAACCCCATCTCTACTGAAAATATGAAAAAAGCCGGGCGTGGTGGTGGGCGCCTGTAGTCCCAGCTACTCAGGAGGCTGAGGCAGGAGAATGGCATGAACCTGGGAGGCGGAGCTTGGAGTGAGCCGAGATCGCGCCTCTGCACTCCAGCCTGGGCAACAGTCAAGACTTCGTCTCAAACAAAACAAAACAAAATTAAAAAAAAAAAAAAAAAAGGCAAGGGAAAAAACTGCCCCCACAAAGACTGAATCAGAAGCCTGGACTATATCTACCCTGGATAGGCTATAATGAGGACCCCAAATTTCCTACTGGGGTGGTATCAGAGGAAACAGTAGGGATTAAAGACTTTCATCCTTAGTGATTGGACTCAAGCACCACACCCTACTCCTCAACTCTCCCACCACTTCAAGGCCATTTGAAAACTATGTGGGGAGCCTGGACTTCCACCCACACCCAGAAGTAAGGAAGTACCTTTATTCTTCCCCACGGGATAGTGTGAGACATTACTTGCACCACAACCCAGCAGTAAAAAGGCTACACCACTCTCATGGTGTCAGTGGAAGCCACATAGAGAGAAGTAACAAGGCATTCCTCCTACCCCTTCCAGCCAGAAGGAGCTGGAACTCCCACCCTTGCCCAGCAGTAAAAGTGCAAAGTGCAAATTAAAACCATAATGAGATATCTACCTATGAAAATGACTAAAATTTAAAAAATATAGTTGCAACATGAAATGCTGGCAAGTATTAGAGAAACTGGGTCACTTATGCATTGCTGGTTAGAATGCAAAATGATGTAACCACTCTGGAAAATACTTTGGCAGTTCCTTTTCTATCTAAAGATGAACTTA